GGCGCATGACACCGAGCAGTAACAGCAGAGATGCTGGCAGAAAAAAAATATCTGAGATTTCCACCTTTGCATGAAAACGGTCTAATAAGGGAAGATGGACCACCTAAAAAGGGTGAGGGGGGAGAAAAAGGCTGAAAACAATAACAGAAAGGGGAATCTGTGCAACTACCGTGAGGCTAAATGCATTTTGATTCCATGTTTCCACGGAAAGAGTTTTAACAGTACTGGGTAAAATGCCAAATATGTTTTCATAACGATTCACACGGCATGAATGGAAACACTCAAGAGAAGTATTCTCTCTATTCTGCACTCTAGCTCTACATACAACTCTCTCTCTTTTGTCCTTTATTTCTTCTTCTCACTCACACCATTCCGTTCACCCTTTGCTGGAAGATTACCTCAGAGATGCCATGCCTGGATACTGCTGGAGCCTGTTATTCTTCAGCAGCAGCCAAGAGTCCTGCTCATCTCTCAGACACTTTTCCCCATCTGAGGGCTCTCGGACCGCACAGCCAGGTTTCACCTTCTAATATGGATCTTAAAGACAGGCGTTTCATGCAAACACCAAGTCCATATAAACCTCCCGTATAACACAGCCTGGGCAACGTAACCTCGCAGCACTTCCAGCACCAGCTTGGCAGTTTATTTAGAGCTGCAGCGCATCACTCATAGGCCATCCAGTCCCGATGGAAACACCTGAAGCAATGGAGAGCTCACACCTTCCTACAGTAACCTACTCAAAGAGTTAACTATTTTCACCCTTCGACATTTTCACTCGCATTCCTACAGTCTCAACTTGTTTAACCTCACCTTGTAAACGCTGCATCTCATTTACGGCTCTTCCACCAGAGTAAAAAGTGGGAAGGAAGCTGTTCTCCATGAGGATGGTTAGAGTCCAAAGCTCCCCAAAAGGCAGACACTGCTGTGAACCCAAAGCAAAAGCTTTGCCCAGGTCTCATCTCACTTTTGAACCTGCCCCGAACACTCGTGCTGCCGCAGCGGAGGAGGAACCGCGGTGCCCACCAGCGGCTGGGGCTGCTGAAGCCAGGACCCAGTGGCACCTGGGGCTTTCTTCCTCCACGTGTCACTGCTCGCTGTGGATCACCTTTCAGGAGACTTTCTGGATTTGGCACAAATTGTCCCCAAAACCTTTCTCAAATCCTGAAAAACTATACTTAAAAAAACCTGCCACATAGGACAGTGGTTAGTTTAGGATGGCAAGAGAACTGAAGCACCAGTCCATGACTCCTAATAAAAGCCCAGAACAAATGTATGGTAATATCATTAAAAACCTATTTCTTGTATTAATGAGATTTTCTTCTAAAGTGATGTAACCACCAATGAACTGCAAAAACCATAAGTCTACAGAAAATCATAAATGCCATCTTCTCTGCATCGTAGGGTGCCAACTTTGGCTTCCAATGTATCAGAATGGAGCCAGATAGGTTCCTTCGGAAGGTTAAAAACCCAGTGATGTGATACACCAAAAGCATCTATTTGTCATAATAACGCAGTCTCCATCGAAAAGTCCACATTTGGTCTCCCATGTTATCATCTTAATTTCCTCTATATTTAGACCAGGAATTCAGTGTGCAGTAACCATGTCTACCATACAACAGTTACACCACAAAACTTTAAGAGATTTCAAACACAAATAAAAGAATCCATATGATACAGGAGACTGAACGATTCAAAAACAGTACAGTGTTTTCCTTTTCAAGGTACAATATTCAATGCAAGCATTCCTTTGCCACAGTAACGGTCTTACACATCCATTATTTTACGGATCTGTACTTTCATGACTGCGTAAAAAAATGAACTTATCTAACCACTGGAAGAAAACTCCAAAACCAGGATTTTCTGTACTGGAAATCCTTTAGCTCTGTGTTTGACAAACTTGTGTTGCTTTACAAACTTGTGAAATCATTAAGTCCTGAGCCTAAAAAGGGCCCCTACACTGATATTAAATAATTCATATGAGCGAATCCCTTTGTCTGAAGCAAGTCAAAAGCAAGCGTGGCAGAAGATTCATAATATGCAATGGTTGCCTTTAATCTGCATCCATCTCAAGACTACATACAGCTCTGCCTGAGAGGCAACAGTATTTTCAGATGGTAAATAAAGTTGCAGGTAACTCTTGATGCTTTTAAAATGAGTGTGAAAACACTGAGGGACAAACTCCCTTTGCAGCTGATAGCAGGAGGATGGCAGAGCCAGAAGTTTTATTAGAGGAAATGATGGAAAAACAGAGTATGAGGGCTACACGCAGCAATCTTTCCTCTATAAACCATTGCCTGTAGCGGCTGAAGGGGAAGGCGCAGGGGAGGAGAAGTAACTCACCATCTCTAGAGATCAGCGAGGGGCGGCACAAGCCCCGTGGCCGCAGCGAGCCGTGGGGGCGGCACGGGCGCCTTCATCTGCCCCGTCCTGCCGCAGGCTCGCACCGAGCCAAACCCGGGAGCAGCATTTTTGTGCCCAGTCGGAGACTTGGCTCGCTGTCCATGTTCCTGCATCCCTCGCTAACATCCGTGAATCCTGTGACTGAGCTTGGAAACGACTATCCCGAGCTGAGGATTAGCAGCATTCAGGAGAAAAAGGCATCAGAACTGCAGCACCCAGGGAAATTAAGCGCAGGAGGAAAAAAACTGCCAAAATAGTTGTATAAATGCCTTCCTGCTACAGATTTCAAAGCATGAGTAATAGTAAAAGCCAAACAACAATCCCAGCCTGGTTTGAATTTTGCTCTGCTTTTATTCTAACTCTCTGCAGTATGTACCGAGGACTCCGGCTTGGGCAGCGATGCACAGAACGGACGGCGAAACCCAGGGCGAGCTGTTCCGCACAGCGATGGACTTACTCAGGGGTTGACCGTCTGGAACAGTTTCCTCCAAGACCTCTCGAGCCTCTGCTTTGAGCATGCGGGGCAGACACAGGATGCTGGTGGGTGTGAGAAAGGGCCTTGCGGATGACGAACCCAAAGCCTGGACCCGCTGGGTATGTGTCACCCTCCAGCAGTGATGCCAGGCTTCGGGCAGGCTCCTTTTTGGCTGGGTTTTTCCATATTTACTCTAGTTACAGGACAACGTTTACAAAGAAGGAGTTACACAAGTGATTTTAGAGCGGCGGGGCGAGGACGCAGCCTATTGTTAAGGCTGTGCTTTCCACCGCCGGAGCCCCACTCCGATTTGTTTCTAACGTTTCAGTCACCCGCTCTGAAATTTCCCATGTTGTCGGGAAGCTTCCCACGCCGTTCTGCAGGGCCTTTGGAAAACAGGGATCTACAACCACCATCCCAGGTACGTACATACGAACACACAGAGCAAACGGACTTCAGTGCACACAGGCAACCTGAATTTTGGCATCTCCGCAGGGTGAGCGCTTTGTTAAAGAAGTTATCTCCTAAGAAAACAAATTGGAGCCTGCAGAACTGTAACGACCCCTTGCCTTGGGTCACCGACAAGGTCCAGAAGTTTTGAGTCATGAAGCATCTCTCTACTACTTGACTTGACCAACAACCAGCACTGGCACCAGGCTCTCCTTCTACGGAGCAGACACTAGAGGGGAAGGTGACACTGTACACCTTGGCCGTAACGTTCTCCATTTATCTACTGACTCCACAAAGAGAAACATGGAGGACTACAGCCTGGGGGGGGAGGAAAAATCTGTGGATCCTTCACACCTGCTGTCCATCCCAACACCCACTCTATGCCGTGCGGTCCCTCCTCTGTCCCACACGCCCTCTTCCACCCCATCCAGCCCATCCCCTATCCCACCTCCATCTCCCACAGTTCTGCCACTCTGTCCCCTTCTTTGCACATCCTGCCGGGCTCCAGCCAAGCTGCTCCCTCCTCTTCTCCCTCTTCAGCAAAGCACAAACCTGGGGGCCTACAAACCAAAAGCAATGGGCAACAACAGACCTGGGGCTCTCTCCTGACAGAGCATCATTTATCTTATCTGTACCAACTCCCAGGGAAGGAGGCTCCCTAGGTGGTCTTGCGACAGTTTCATGATGATAACAGGATGTTTTCTCAACATCCTGCCTAAATCATGCTGGCAAATTAGCTAATCAGTAAATTAAGCTGCCATGGAAATCTGGAACTTTAATAACCACTATTACATGTTGGCAGCCTGCTAGATTGCACAATAGTTTTCTTTTTGTTGCACTGAATAAATTTAATTCTTTCGACCTCTTCTCACGTTTCTTAATCTCTTCTTGTTGTTTCCTTCTGGACACTTTCCAGTACGCCGTGTCCTCCTTGGAGTAGGGCACCCAAAACCAGATTCAATGACACTGATGATGCCTCCGCAGTGCCACGCATGAGTAAGTCACCTCCCGCATCTTATGGAGGACACTCCTTCCATATAACTCAAAACAAAATTTGTCTTCTTTTGCAATAGCCTCTTGCTGATGATTCACTTGTGGTCCACTAAAAATCCTCAGTCTTTTTCTACTCATCCCTCTACAGCTTTAACCTGCATTAGCAAATGTGCATTTTGATTCGTTCTTTGCAAATGAAGCACTCTGTGGCTGCTTTTATCTCTTATCTGGATGCACTTTCCAATTTCTTAAGGTCACTCTGAACCCTGACCCTTCTCTCCCAAGTGTCTGCAACCCCTCCCAACCTGATGTCATCCAAGAGTGTTATAAACATACTTCTATCTTCCAAATCATGACTGAAAATATTGCAAATTTTCCTCTAGAAAGTGACCTTGCTAATACAGCACACATTACTGCACTACTTGGATCAGTGGAGAGATGCAAGTGCAAATCTTTTCCCAGCTTCGTTCTCTGTGAAGATATTTAGAAATGCCATGTTTATCTGGTAGGCTGCAACTTCTGAAAATACAGACATTAATTCAAAACTAATTCATGCAGTAAAGGTAGGATGCATTAAATTCAATAGGAACTAACTAATGAAATTAATAACCACAATGAGAAGGCTATTTCCCAGTGAACTCTGTCTCTGGGGTCAGCCAGCTACAATTTGTCAGTCACAGGCTTAGACAACCGAAGCCGTCGGATGAACCCAGCGGCGCAACCTTATCCATCCTGCCACACGAAGACAAAGATTCAGCAAATAACGACACATCCCCCATTTCTGGGATCAACACAAGAAGAGAAGTCTATCAGGGTACAGCTCATTTCAAACTGTTGCTTCACTTTCGTGATGCTGGAGCCACCAGGTGCCGTGTCTAAATTATTTTAACGTCCCAGTATGCAGAAGCCAAACCAGATTTCTCATCAGAGCTAAGAATCTAAAGTTATTCAATTCAAAAAATGCAAAAGTCTAATTTTAACAGATCACATCAAGTTATTGCCCTAGCTCTACTCAGGCAGGAAGATAAGGACCAGGGGAGTCCCCGGCAGGATGAGCACCCACCGCCCAACATGGAAGGAGCTTGGGAAATTCTGGTTACAGAATCTCCATAGCTGAACAAATACAACCCCTGAGAAAACATTCTGGAGATTTAAGAAACAGTTACTTTATAAACCCATTCTAATTGGGAAAAAAAACATTTTTCCATTATTTTCTTTTCAGTGCTTATAACCCTACAAACCATTATTTTCCTAAACATTTTTCAGCTGCAGCTTTTCCATGACATATTCAAAAGCCTCTCTCAGGCAAAGTCTTCCAAAACGACTACAGGGGCAAGCATGTGCAATCTTAGACATAGAATACGAATGCAGCTAATTCTCAGCTTTCAGAAACCAAGGCACGAGAAAGAACTTTTCCCCCTTCTCTTCCCAGCGTGCTCAAGCTTACTGTCATTCAGCCTGATTGCACTATACAAGTTGCACTTTTTAGGCTCCAAAACATTACTTTTTTTTTAACAGTCTGTGCATATAAACAGCTTTCCACATTGCATATTTATAAATAACACTGTGCAAAATTCTCACCCGTAAACCAGGAGTTAATGCCGTTCCCAAGGTCCAAAGTTGCTGACAGCACCGGTAAGACTGCTAAATACCTGACCGGGTGCACGCAACAGCATCTCTATTTGCAACAAGTTGAGAAAACCGCTTTTACTAACCACAAAATGGCTCTGTAATGAGAAGGCAATGAGCACCTGAAAGACTTCTGGCTACAAAAAAAAAGTCAGCGCTAAATAAAGCAGGGACGGGACGTGGCAGGAGATGCACGCTGCGCGACGGCTTTCACCGGCCACCTCCCTTACCCAACCTACACGTGTGAATTAAGCTCTATTTATACGTCTTCCATGGATTTTTTTTTTTTTAAACGACCTTAATATAGTGCAGTTGTTATTTTGTTTCTGTTGAACTTAGCAACAGGAAACCCTGTCAGTCCTGCAGCAAACTTTCCATCCCCCCCCCGCCCCCGGCACTCCCGTTCCTGCACCAGAAAAGCCAGATTTATAAAAAGGTGTTTGACCGGGCGGGAGGGAGAGGAAGAAGAGATGAAAGCGCACACACAAAAAAATCAAAATGCCTGGGAAACATGCAAAATGGAAGCCAAATGCAATATGCTTCTTTTCTTTTTTTCCCCTGTTTGAAAGGAAAAGGCAGAGCCCTAATTTGCGTTTTCTAAAGATGTCTTACTTCACCACCAGACACCTAAGTATTAGTCATGAAAATTATTTTTAATAAAGGGTCGGTAAAAAAAATCATCAGCATCTTTACGCTCACGCATTCCAGTAACAAAAGACTTACTTATCAGACACCACAAATTTTGGCTTGGAAAGTTATTCGCTCTCGTCCCTGGCTAACTCACGGAGCAAACAGCTACAGAAATTAAGCCTTAACTTGTTAAAACCAAAATAAACCTGATTTTGTTACAAGCTTTGGCAAGACTGTTCTGCCGCCTAAAGAGCTTTATGGCGGGATGAGCAAAGTTTTTTGGTGCTCCACCCTGCAACGTTAACTCATCCCTGCAACATCTTCTCTTTTAACAGCTTCATAATGGTACGCAAACACACAAACACAGCTGCGCAATGGCAACGTGCACCAACACAGGCTGCGAGCAATTTCGCATTTACAAAACACTTTCCTTTTCAGGAAGAAGAAACAACATATAAAATATAAGGGCAAATGCAGGGAAGAAAGGTAAAATTAAAACACCCAGATCCTGACAAAGCAGAGTATGTATTAGGGGCAATTTAAACCAAAATTACGTTCCTGTTAAGCCAAATATTCACATTTCTTTTTTATTCATAGACACTCCTTAAATATGGCAAAGCACAAGTAACAGAAAACAATACCAACCGATTTCTGATGCCTGGCATGACCTTTTTAAATTGTTTCACCGACATGAGGAATAAGGGGTTCCCCCCCACATTTGATTCCTGTATGTATTCCCATTACTAATTTTGCTTCCAGCAAAGGCACTAGTGGTCCCAGCCAGAGATGCCCTCAGACCTCGGAGCCTGTGCACGCACCAACACTGCCCGCAGCCCCGCTCCCCTCTGCCAAAAACTCCCCAGAGAGGGGACAGAGCGACTCCTCGGAACCACGCACGTGCGGGGACCTCAGAGGCGCTGCCGGCCCCCACGCAGCATCACCAACCCCACACTACAGGGCATCACTTTTATCAAATTATATACACACATCTTGGTGCAGCCCTGCCCCACGAGGAACCTTTTGGGTCAACCTCTATGTCACCCACCGAGACAAATAAATGTGGCTTAATCCAGCAGCTGAAAAACGCATGGTCTAAAAAAGCCCCCGCTATTTTTGAAAGGTTAAACCAACGTCACGGTGATGGACGCTGCTCAGCTTTGCAAAGGCGACAGAGAGGAAACCAGCAGGTTAGGTGGCCGGCTGCAGCAGCGATGATGTTTCTTTAAAAAGCACAGAAAAAGATGAGGTGACAACGCGTAAGTGGCACTTACCGCTTCCTCACGGGCTGTGCTCTCGTTGCGATCTTTCCGAAAATCCACCTCGTCTTCAGTTTTCATTTCCAACTTCCCTGTGAAAACAGAAGGTTCGCACAGGCAATTTAAAAACAAACTTCTTGCAGCGCTGCTGATATTCTTCTGTTTATTCAAAGCAGTCTCAAAAAAAAAAAAAACCGAAGGGAAAGAAAACCCAACTCCGAAACCTCTTCAACAAATCCATTTGACTTCCAACATCTGGTTTCATTCCCAACTTTGCTGCTTGTTTGTTATTAGTTTTACAACTATCGTGTCTGGGACTGAAGGAAACTATGAAACAGCAGCAAATATGGGGTAAAACTCCTGAAAAGCTTTAGGTGAAGCTGAGCACATCTGCACGTATTTGCCCATGTATTTCCTTGGCTCCCGTTCACCTAGTTAAAGAACCACATTTTTTGCTGCTTTTCTTCTTACCATAACCCGAGGATAACGCAAGCAACCAGCCTTGCCTTCTCTCAACAGGCATTATAAGGATGGAAAAAAAAAAAATAAAAATCACAAGCTTCAAACAGTCAGCCCACCTGCACTGCCTTAAGGATGACGATGAAGTCCCTGGCCTAGGAAGGCAAAACCTTTTCTGCTGGAGTTTACAAAGCCCCACCTGATTTTCTCCTTCCTCATGCTCCCATGATGGTGTCACCACCGCAGCGGTACAAACATCATGTCCCAGGCTGCTTTCTCTGCCCAGCAAAGCTTTCGTTAGTCACCATTCCCTGGAGTTCCCTTCTAGGTACCTTTTCCTGGAATGAAGTCAACATCCTAATTCTAAGCTAATGACCCTCGCGACACACAGGATACTTTTAGAGGAGCGCAGTGATTTCACCAAAGCCACCCAGATAGAGAGTGGCTGTGCTGGGGCTAAACTCCTCTCTAATCCCACTCCCTCTCTCATTTCTACTAAAACCAAACGCTGGATGGATGTCAACGCCTTCTTGCGTTTGCAGTGAGTTTACCTGTTCGGAGATTTAGCAAGAGGAGCCTTCCATCTTCACAGGGAAGCTGCTCTAACAACTGTCACCTGTGGCCTTCCATTGGCATTAAAGTCTATCCTTGATTCTGGGACGATCTGGTTTTGCAATGTTCTATTGGTAAACTAATCCAACATCATTAAGTCAAACTGGCATGATTTTGTCTCGCTTAGATAAGTTTGTGGGCAGAGTCTCAGAATTCAGAGGTAATGCTACCAATTTCTGCGAGTCCCATTTGATGGCAAAGCAGAGATCATGGTCGTGGTGAGATCTGCTTGGGGTCAAAGCACTGTTGTGATGGCTAAGATCTTGGTCCAAAGACACAACATGCAAGGAAGAAACCCTCTGGTGCACTGAGGACAGGAGAAGCAAGCAGTGTAAGTGACACACCATGCGGGGTAAGAACTGGAGGATGACACCATGAGCCCCCGGGATGAAATTCAAGGGGACAACTGTTTGCTCTCTGCCATTTTTTCCTAAACTTCTCCTAAGAAACATATCCCAAACAAAATGCACTCACAGAGGTCACCGGGGCATAGAGCACCTTATCGCATGTGTGGCGTCATCAGTGACATTTGTCAGTGGTTCATCCTGCTGCTTTCCCAGGGGAAGGAAATTGTAGTAAGTGCTTTTCCATAGGGAAAATGCTATTGATGAGGATGAGGTGAAGACTGGTAAAATTCAAAATAAGGTGAAATTCTTCTGTCTGGCAACAAATGTTTTCTTTAAATGCTGAGATCTACAAGAGATACATTAGGGATATTTCTCCCTGGAGAAGAGCTAGGGAGCAGTGATGACAGTATTTGTTAATTTAACATGCCAAACCCCAACCACACAACCCAACCCTGCCAGGGTCGCTTTCTGCCAAGAAGCTGCATCTACTCAGAGGTGTTTCATCAACAGAGACAAATGCCATTTCTTCTCTTCTTGCCCAGTTTGGCTATTGTGGTATGACTTCATATCCTACCTACCAGCTTTTTTAACGAGTAGCGTATATCTGCCTGACTTGTAAATAATGGGCTTGAAGAACCCATTACTCAGCCATAATGTAGTTCTGAGCCCAAAGCTAACAGCACGAGGAGCTGCCTTCTGAAAGTAGAATCTTCTAGCTTCATCACCTTCCTTCAGTGGTGGGATCAGTCACTAGATATTTGTCTGGATAAGGCAATTACCCCTTTGAGGTCTGTGTTTTGGGGGTAGGCTGAAGGTAAAAAGCGGCAATGAGATAAACAGGTATGTATATGGGAGCAATTTCACAATATAAACAAAAAAAAAATTAAAGAGCTCAATGATTTGGATTAATGGCAACAGCAATTACCAGCCAGTTACATCTCTGCTAAATTAGCATGACAATAAAACTCTCCGACCACACGTGTTTCTGAGAAGCGGCCTCATGACGTGCACTTCCTTTGGGAAGGCTTTATTGTTGTCTGTCAAAAAAAGGTCTGATTCATTCTGCTGAGCACCGATGACTCCTGCATGGCTACAAAATACTGGGTACAAACCCAGGCTGCCAGGGAAAACTCCCCAGCGCTGACACAGGAAAGAAGAATCGACACAAAGAACTGAAGGCTGCCACCGAAATAGTACCCAAAACATGCTACCCAAAGCTTAGACATCAGCATGAAGAATGTGCACAGCAATAACAATAAACAATAAATCTGTTCTCTGGAATTACTGCCATATCAGAGTTCTAGATGCTGCTTTATAGGAGGTGAATTTCACAAATATTTCAAGTAGTGAGCTTGGATTCATAGCAGTCGCTCAGTATTTCATTTGGGCTTCCCTAACGTTTTGCCTTGGAGCAATCCTAAAGTTCTTCAAGAGAAGATATTCCAGATGAAATTCTGCTTTGTGCAGCATCCTGCTGCAAATAAACAATTCTTCTTTATGGAGAGATCAGACCATTGTATTCCAAGACCTTTCAGCCCTAAATCCTTATGTATTTTAAATCACTGACAGGATCACCTCTTCCCCCCTCTTTCCATACCCGAACACACAATGACACCTTAATATTACTTTCCCACTTCAGTCACTATCTTACTGGGCTGTTTAGTCCCTTCTCCTTTTAAAACCCAGTCTAGACGATGTCACGTCTCCAAGACTCCAACCAGAGATGAAGACCTGGAGTTTGCGGCGGGAGCCGGCAGAGCGGGGGGTTCCCAGGAGAAGGGAGCCGTGCCAGGTATTGTCCTACAGCCACTCCCGTCCTATTGCACTGTCAGTCTGCCACAGCACTAAAATCGGTTCTTTCTGAAAACAGCTTTCTAATCCACCTTTAAATTTTTCTACTTATTTACTATCTTATTTACTACTCCTGCCTAATGTTCACTGGTTATCCCCCGACACGTAAACTTTCTAAAACTCCTGAACTTGACGAAAAAAGGATTTGCCCCACCACTGCCCCCCCTCAAAAATCAATCCTTTCCCCTGCCCCCAGTTATTCTGCTATCACATATCAGAACAAATCCTCCGCCATCACCCCATTCTGCATTTAGACTGAAGAAACAGCTCCCAGCATTAAAGCAGTGAAATAGATTTATATCATGGCAGTTTTTTTGTTGTTGTTTTTTTTTTTTTTTTAATCGTTGAAATGTTTTGTTTGTTTGTTCGGTGCTGGGAAAGCAAAGAGGCACTGTATCATTTTCTTATAGCAAAGAAGAAAACGGCAACTGAAAAAGTTCAGCTGCTCCCATTTAACAGCTGCCTGAACAGGTGGAATACAAAGACCAGATTAGATCCATGCATCAGTAGCAAGTTCACCTATGATTTAATTACAAGCTGGAGCAACAAACCCGCTTCTCTTTCATTCAATTTATCCCTTTATTCCCCTTTTCCGAGTTACCTGGTGACGTTTTCTATTAGCTCCTCTCGCACGAGACGTCTACACCCTCCCTCAGGTCCCACCACTCTCCCCCCTCGCCACTCACCCGCGGGGAATGCCGGTCCCGCTTCCCAGCCGATGGCAGCAAGCAAAACTCATCATCTGAGTTCCAGTACTGCTTAAATGCACTGGAAAACACCACCGGCGGCTCTGCCCGACAAAAAAAGCTTTGCAGCCCGGAAAAGGCGGTGGGGGTAGGGCTCGCTGGCTTTTTTAAATGACCTAATACCGCCAATTAGGAAGTGGCTTTGTGCAGTTCAGAAGGACACTGGCAGCTGTTTCAAGCAGACGAGCAAAGAAAATGCCCCGTTGTACCCTCCGACTCCACGTTAGCAAAAAGAAAGGGGAGAAGCGAAGGAACAGCACTCAGCAAATAAACCCTCAGGCCCACACGAAAGCATGTAACATGAAGATTCAGTAGTCCAAATAGTTCCCTCCCATTCATTCCTTCTCCACGGAGGATTGACCCGCTGGAAATTCCTCCGCACAAATTCACAGGAGATGATGTCCTGTCCTTACCCCCAGTGCCAGCCAAGCAACATGCATCTGAACAGAAAGTTTTAATACGTCACTTCGGATTTCTTCTTTCTCAAAAGAAGAACCCCAAACACCTACGCTTCCTCTGCAAGGCAGACCTCCTGCTCTTATTTCCCTTCCTTCGCTGATGAGAGGCTAGAGGCACACCTACAAAGGAAAAGACTAGAAAGTAGGAAACCACCTGATTTTTCCTACCTGTAACAGGCTCAGCTCGTTGCACTGCCGGGCTGACGTTCCTCTTCTTTGTGGAGGAACTGAAATCCATTTCTCCATTCATGCTGGCTCCTACATCCACTGCAGCCTGGGGCTCAAGCCCCACTTTTTCTGCGGATGGTAATTCAGGGGAATAAGGTGTCTCTGCTGCAAAAACCACCGCATCAAAACTTTTTACCATTTTAGGAACTTTATCCAGAGAGGAGCCATCATCTGCCGAAACCAAACTCTTTACTCCCACATTTTCCAGTGACTCAACAGCATGTAAACGGCACGAACACGGCGAGAAGGGCGATTCGGGTACAGCTTGGCTTTGCTTTCCATCGGGCTCAGCCAAGACCTCCCCCTGAGCTGCTTTTGCAGCGGGACCAGCGTCGCTCTCGCCAGCCGGACAAACGGTGTCGGTGCTGGAGTCGCTGTCGCACATGGGCTCTTCCGCGATGGGCTGAAGCGCTGCCCGGGGAAGCATGCTTTCCATATCCTCCTGCTCTGCCGGATACGCTGCAACGGGGGTTATTGCCACCGGCCTTAATGCTTCCTTACCCTCACAGGCATCGCTCGGGGCTCCCGCTTCTGAAGCATCCTTTAACTCAGGGGTGCTGCTGTGCGGGGAGGTTCGCTGTTGGGTTTGACTGGGATCAGGTTCTCGGTTCAGCCCTGCATCGGGACGAGGGTTGCTCTCCGCACCCGGTGACTCGCCTGCCGACAGGGGTCCGTGCATGGCGCCTTCTCCTGCCCCCGCTGCCCTGGTCTCACATGCTTCTTCGGCGGCCACCGTCCCTTCCAGCCCACCATCCGCACCGCTGCCGCCTGCCGCGGGCCCCCCCTGGGCGCAGGCCGGGGGTTTCACAACAGAGGCAAGAAGTTCCTCCGACAAAACCTGCTCCTGGCCACTTGCACAAGCCTCCCCGTCAGGCTCAGCTTTGCCTCCTTCACCCTGCTGCGAAAGCCTCTGCTCCGGAGAGCCCTCGTCCCCCGCATGGTCCCCAGGCCAGCCGGCCCTGGCAGCTACCCTGCCATGCTCCCCGCCGCGCTGCCGGGCGAGCTCTGCCGAGCCTGCCGCCGCCGCCGCTTCCTGGTTTTGTTTAGGTTCATTATGAATTACAGAGGGTGTGCCTATTAAATTATCCTCCGCGCAGTCTGCGCCCTTGGCACACGGAGCCGATCCAGGGTCGTTACCTTGCAGAGCTGCCTCCAGCCCTGGAGGTGCCACTGCAGCATCTCCCTCCGGACTCGCAGCCGGTCCTCCTCCTCCGGGTAGGGGGGCGAGGGGTTTCATCTCCCCGCTCAGCCCCTCCTGCTCCGAAGCGCTCTCTGCTCTCTCTGCTTTGCTTTGTGCAGGTTCTTTTTCCGCCGGGCATGTGCTCGCCTCCTCCGGAGGGAGCGATGCAGGCTCACTTTTGCTCTCTTGAGCAGCGTCCGGTTTTAAGCCGTCACCCATTTCATCGTTAACGACAGTTTGATCAGCAGAAGGGCAGCAGCTAGCAACTTCCTGAGCTCCATCTGCAGAATCTGCACTTCCCCCATCTCCGCTGCTGCTGGTATCAGTTCCTACTGTCTCCCCTTCTGGGGCTTCGCGGCCCTCTATTGCTTCAGCCACACGTTCAGCGACCTTACCGCTCTCCTGGCAACACGCAGGTTCTGCACTGCTTTGATTAGATCCACCAACATCATCGTTTTCAGGTTTAGCATCAGGGCCATCAGCTTCCACACTGTCTTCCGAGCTGGATTTCCCGTCTGTGCAACCTGCTTCCACCTGCCCTTCTCGCTCCCCGCTGCCGTGGATTTCCAAACCAGGACCAGGTTTTGATGCACCCGCAGGAACCTTCACTCCATTCATTGCTGGCAACACCGCCCCGGCGCTCGCAGTGACTTCCCGCTTCACTGAGACGTGAGCATCACCTTGGCTTTCCAAGAAGCCACTGTTTACCTCATCAGTGCACGAGTCCACTCCAGTCTCTTTGTTATCACCAGTCTTGCAAAGGTCAACAGATGTCATACCATCACATGCCAGTACCAATCCCACATTTGCATCCTCCCCATCCACACACTCAGTGCCATTAACCCCACTGAGTAAGGGCTGAGCAGCACCGGCTGACTCTTCCTTAGCTGGCGATTGCTCTTCTAGGTTTGTAGTCCTCCTTTCACCGGCCTCAGCCATCCCATCCTCTACCTGCTGCCGGCCCGCAGCTCTCTCAGCCGCCCCCGTACAGTTCCTGCATTCGGTTTGGCCCATAGCCACATCCGCGCCCTCCAAGGAAGCCGGGGCTTCGCCTGCAGTTTCACCCCCAGTAACAGCACTGTCAGCCGCACTCTCCTCGGCAGCCTGCACCTCCTGATGGAGGCTATCTTTACTGCACAAGCCGGCTTGGTCCAAACCAACGCCAGCAGATGTCATTCCAGCTTCCTCATTTGTATTTCCGCAGGATGGAAGATTTACGGCACCGTTTACGCTTGCACACGGGCTCACTGTGCGGTCCTTCTCATCTGATATAGTCCCAGAGCCTCGAGCAGAGGTTGGCCCCTCCTCTTCCTTTTTACTCAACGTCACTGTATTTTTACTTTCACAGAAGCACTCTGAACTCTTTGCACCCCCCAGGCTCAGCAAGTCATTCGGTGCATCATTAAAAGCTCCCAAACTCCCGCTGCTGCATTTGTCCTCCTGGTGGGTTTGGTCTGAGAGCTGCCCGATGTCCAGGCGAACGAGATCAGATGGACTTTCCTGCCTTCCTTCTCTTGCCATTTCTTCTGGGCTCTGAGAATTAGTGGCTGGGTGACCATCTGGCTCCACTCCTTTAGCACAGCTGTCTCCAGAATCTCCCAGTACGGGCTGTGTCTGCTGCCTTAAACTCTGCAACAAGAGGGGGAAAAAAAAAAAAAAAGATTATTTTGCTCTGTCACACATTTACACTGTATCCACCATCTACAGGATCTGTATCTACATAAGCCTGTTTGATGTGATGCTCCTCCCTCTGTACCTCTACTTGGTGCCCCTTGGGACAGTTACAAACATAACTTCAGTGGGTATTTTACCTATTGGTTTTGTTACGCAGTAATACTGAAATTATTAGAATGACAGAAAGGTTGGTTGGAAAGAGCATCTGGAGGTCATCTAGTCCAACCTCCTGCCCGAAGCTGCACTATGACCAATGCAACATCAGGTCAACCATGATTTCATCTTGCCAAGTCCCTAAAACCTCCAGTGATGGAGTACCCACCACCTCTCTGGGCAATCTGTTCCTATGCCACACCACCCTCCCATGAAGAAGTTTTCCCTAACAGCCAACCTGAACACCCTGAAGCTGAAATTTGTCCCTCTACCCCCTTGTTACACCATCTGCCACCACTGAGAAGAACTGCTATCTTTGTAATTGCTCTTCAAGCAGCTGTAGTCGTGTTTCTTGAGTGCACTTAAATTCAAGATCAGTAAACAGCAGAATTCAGTCTACCAAATAATGCAAATATATACCAGCCTAGTCCCAAAGGGCTCGAGCAAATGCGACCTCAAAGCAAGTTCAGATCCCTGCCCGCCAGCACTCCCCAGTTCTCAACAGCGTTGCTCAATTTTTTGTGTATTGATGGAAACCCTACTTCAGACCTGGGCATTGGCTGACATTGTCCAAACACCACCACTTGTCTCCTTCTCCTAGGACCGAACTAATCGTCTCATCTCTTCCTGAGAACCGCATGCATAATTAAATATCTGAAATTTACTTCCTAAATGGAAATAAAAGTTTGAAAATGATGACATACTATTAAAATTAATATGTGCATTATCGTGGATCAGTAGCAATGTACTCAATTCCTGTCTAATCTGCATTAGATTAGAATGCAGAATTCCAGAGCATCTGCTTTGTCAAGGATCCCTGAAGCTTTTATAGTTTGATACAATCAAACCTTCACTTAAAAAGAACTGTCTGTTTCAATACCTTCTTTTTTATTCTCTTTGCTGCATATCAATGTTCACATCTTAGAAAAATCGACTTGTTAAATTAACAAGCGACCTCAATCCTAAAACGTACACCCCACAGAGCTCCCTTGATTTTCTGTGGCATGCTCGAGGTTTTACACCATCAGCTTTCAGAGGCCACGCTGGTTTCTCAGTAAGTGCCTGCGACTCTCCACAAATACAAAACTCTAACGAACTTCTTCAAAACTGTCTTTTTTGCATTTATTTGTAAAAATACTCCAAAAAATACATGCATCCTAGAAGCCCACCTTAAATAGGTCCCTGCAATATTTGTTTAAGACTCGTTCTCAGAGAAATAGAATTTCATGCCAAAAATGTCAGCTTAAATGCCCCTTTTCTCCCTGAATATTAAAATGGCCAACATGTTAATTGATGCATCAAAGGGAACTTCTGGGTATCGCATATACAAATAGTGGCTAAAATCATCACTGCTGCGTTGAGGAGATTGCATTTACTCTTCTTTCCACGCTCTGAGATTTGCAAGCGATGAGCACTGCCACTGAACCACAGACCATTAAACACACTTCTGGTGTTTGCCACGAATCTCCTATTTAAAATCATCCTGCTACCCAGCCCCTCTATACGTGGTCACCTGTGCCAGAGCTCCCTGCTTTTCAGGCATCCCAAAATAAGGTTAGCATTGGAGGCGGGCAGCACGGCATCTCCATCCATCGCGCAGCAGCGAGGATGGGATGCAGGGCTCTGCGTGCAGCGGTACCCGCGGGCTGCAGCTATTTTTTTACAAGGGCAAAAAAACCCAGGATGAAATGGCGTGCCAGCCGTCTGGTGGCTGTAAACCCCTCAGCACAGCACTGAGACCGCACTGCTGGTTCCCAGCCAGGAGGCACAGACACAGACAACACAACCAGGACGGACAGACACAGACAACAGCAACTCTTGCTTCCGAACAAGCAAGTTTTTCACAAGGAGAGGCCGCGGCAGCCCCAGCATCCTCACGGTGAAGTCACTCTCCCGACAGCCTGAAAAATAGAGCCGCCCCCAAAGGAAGCCAACTGCCTTTCAACTGACCCGAAATGAACCTAAATGAAATAATTACAGGGCTGCTTTCCAAATTCAAATCAGATTAGATGTGAAGCGAAACACTGCTGGAAAGAAAAAGTCTAAACATAGCCTTTTCTGATTTCATTGTCAGGCAAAATGTACCCATCTGGCATTCGCGGCAGCAAACAAGCAGCGAGCGGGATATGCCAGCCGTGCTTTAGCGTCTTTGGATGGAAAGGGGAAGCGATTGCACAGTTAGCCTGGGTTTGTCACTCATGCCACCAGTTCCTGTTGAGATCAGGAGTAACGAACACCTCAACCACCCAGGGAAGGGTGAAAACAGCTCAGGGTGGTCTGTATCTCTGAATGTCCCCCCAGCCCACTGCCTGCAGACAGCGATTCTCCCCTTCCTTAGATAAAGGAACAAAAATACACTCTTATTTAGATCCCACGCCTCTGTAACGGCAGATGTATGAGCTGATGAAGGACCACCCACAAGTGATGCCAGCTGTGCAAGACGTGTGGGTGCTTCTGAGAAGTGGCGCAGAAGTGTCCTGGTGTTTCACCTTCCCGTCCCAACCGAGCCCCCGTGGCACCTATCTTAAAGCAGTGAGGCAAAGCCTTTCCAAAGCCCCATGGCTCCCGCAGTCCAACCACCGCAGAGTCCAAGAGGAGCGCAGTGAGGGGACCACTATGGACAGCCCCCCGTGTGCCCAGGGCAGGCTCGTCCTCCAAGTCCTACACCCAGGTGCTAAGGGAACAGCTTTTTTCTCCATCACCCGTCCCAGAGGCTTTCCCCTCAGTCTCCTCTCTGACCCCAAACTTTCCATCTGAACAGAGGTACCCACCATGTGCGGCCCCCACAGACCCAGTGCCGCTCCAGCCTGACGGCTGCCAGACACCCTGGAGGGACAGTCCACCTCCAGGGAGGTTTCCCTGCCCATCCAAGCAGGTCCCAACCTAATGGAGAAGGCAGGAGCTGGGAGCAGAGAGAGCCCAGGAGACCGAGCTGAGCCACGCTGCACAGCCCCAAGCCTGCTTCTCTGCCGAGAGAGAAAATTTGCCACCTAGTACAGCTTTATCAGATCTCCCTGTGCTCAGACGAGAAGAAAACAGGCAGGTGTCCACCTGGATGTCTGCTAATGACATCCAGAGAAAACACCGAGGTAAATACACCCCCTCGAAGGGTGCCGAGGTGGGGAAGTCCTCCACAGGCGCCAGGCTGCCACCAGCCGGCTCTGCCGTCACCTCAGCCGTCTCCTTACCGTGTGCTGGTGGCTCTGCATGTGCATCCGAAGGTGCTGTATGTCACTCTCCAAGCTGGCGGCTACCCCTTCCTTGGCTTCAGCTGTCAGCATGTAAACGTCGAGGCCGCGGTGGTGCTTCACACTGTAGTCCCCCGAGTGCACCGTGTGGGACAAGGTGCTCCAGGAGTCCGGTTCCTTGGCTTCCTCTCTGCAATAAAACAAGGGCGGGTTAATCGGCAGGCGAGGAGGGATGCTGCATTGCAGGACACGCAGGCTGTTCTTCACTCTGGACACTCATCTAATCAACGGCCCGAGCGAAACAGAGCACTGGCTCCAGGGCCAGACAGACAAATACGCACGCACACTTCTCCGTCTTGGAAATTAATGTCATTTAGAGTTAATGCCAGCCACAAGCTGCATTTCACAAGGTCTTTCTCAGGTAGAGAGACCTGCTTTTTTCCCCAGACTATGAGAGACTAGCAGCAAAGGGCACAACAATTGCTTTTTAACATGGAATTTATTGCAGGTGTAAACCACCAAAGCAGCTGTTGCAGAAAAACAGATGCCTGAAAGACGGACTGCAGAGGCACAAGTTAGAAGGAACGAGGGTTATCATGATACTGATGCTACAACTTCTACACTGAAACCAGCACACCACTTCACAAACACCCAGCACCCATCAAATTGTAGCAATTTTTTCACTCCTGAAATGAATTGAGCTCGCCCTGCGAAACTGCTTCTGTGCAAGATGTTCTCAACATTGTGAGACAGTTGTCCTTCTGCAGCACTACCCCAGATTTTCTTTTTATCAATCAAAAGGAAAGGAAAAAAAGAGGCTGTTGTAGATCAGAATGAGAAAAATAACTCAGCAGTTACATATATTCAATAGAAATTTCTATTCAGTCATCTCTTTTTGAATGTTGAGCCCTGATTCTGCACAGGCTTGTGACTCAAAGCAGTAATTCTTCAGGTCTCACAGCCGCACAGAGGATATTATATTGCCCCTTTAAGGTGGTGAAGAAACATCTTCTCAAGGTGTTCATCTAAAGATTCAGACTTAGACATTTAATTTTTTAATCAGAACTGATTCAGGAAACCCAAAATCTGTTATAATTGCCCTGGGACGGAGTGGCTCGTGCAGCACCCTCCTGAGCACCGCATCCCCTGGGAGAGACGTGGAGCTGAGCAGGAACGTTACGGGAACGGGGGCTTTTGCTGACCTGCTCAGGGGGGTGAGAAATGGAAACTTCTCTATTTTCCTTTCTCTAGGGCTGCATCCACCGAGTGCCAGCCCGAGCAGAGAGCACATCCCCTCCCTGTCGCGGAGGGGACAGCCCCGGCCACAACAGGCATTCCCAAATCTCCCTTTGCAGCACAGCCACAGATCACCCTAGAAGGGGCCCGGGACAGAGACTGTATGCAAATAATTAAGGAATTCAAGAAGGTATGTATACAGAAATGTATACCATCAACCAGGTAAAATTACACATAGCTTTCAGCATCTTTGCCGACTGGTTTCTTACTTTAAAAGTAGCAAACCCTTCTAATGGGCAAGCGATCCCCAGGGCTCAGGCGAACCGCAGGGCCACCTCTCTGGGAAGCCACGCAATTTAGAAAGTAAAGTCATCAGGACCAATCGATACCGTGATTGGCAACAGGAATGGGCAGAGCAAGGTAGGGAAACGGTCAGACGGCTCATCACGCGGCAGAGAAACCTGTGTAGATGGCAGTGGTGGCAGCGGCTGTCCCCGCTCTGCCCCGGCACAACCGCCCGCCCCCTCCTGTGACTCATTTTGGGCGGAATCTGCAGGGAAATTCAGACAAAGCAGAACCACATCTTCCACCATTCACCACCATTTAGATCAAGTGACTTCAGTAGAACTAGCCTTGATTTAAGCAGAATCAATATTTCTGCAGAGAAACAGAAGGAAGCGGCCAGTTTTTGGTGGTGATTGGTACAAACCCATGGAGGCACTGAAGTCAACTGAGCCATTACAAGTGACTAAAGAAATGACCTTCCTTTATTAAGAAAACACAGACATTTCTGTCTGGAGTATTTTTCTTATCAGCTGTTATATATGAATAACTACTGTACTCAGGGCCACCCCCGGTGTACAACAAGGCAGTCAGCACAAAACCCATGTTCACCCACTCATGGGGACCAACATCAGCCGGATTAAAGGACCGAGCGCGATGAGTCTGCTCCACTTTCTCATCAGCTTCGAGTACACTCACGAGCATCTTCAAATCAGCACCCACAAAGCAGCCTCCCCGACTTGAGCCTTAAAGGACCCTCAGCGGCTTCAAAAGCTTCAAAATCTGGAGCGAGATGACAGGCACAGTCCCCCGCAACACCATGAGCGTGCCCAACCCTCCTGCAATTCGTCACCTTCACACGGCCCAGACGAATCAAATAATCACTTCTGCTTACAAAGACAGCAATTTCTTTTCATATTCAAGCCGCCGATCTGTGTTACCCTCTATAAAGGGCTTTAAACCTTTTGAAAAACCAAGATCTTTCTCCCATCCAGCCAACTACAAACAACTCCAAGCTCTCATTTTCAGTAGCAGTCACCTATGTTGCATAAAATTAAGCAGTAAGGTAGCGGATGGCTCAATCTATTGACACCTTCAAATCTTCCCTTTCACACACCGCTGCGTCCCGGCGCTGATGATCCGCAGCAGAGAGGACAAATGGGTATTCACACGCATTAGCTTGTTTGCACACCGCTATTTCTGTCGTTCAGCTGATCACTTCCAAGAGCACGTAGATCACACGAGAAAACGCTCCTGCACATTCGTCTTCATACATTGAGCTTAACTGCTTGTGTCTCTCCCGTGTGTCTCACTGCAAGCCCTGGGTTTTATTGAGAGATGATTTTCCCCGCCAGGGAAAAAAAAAAAAGCTTTGCAGTCATGTATTTTGTAGTCCCTGGTTGTGAAAGACACTGATTTTGTACAGACTGGGAATTTCTGCAGGAATTGTTTACAAGTGCGTACCCAAGCTGGCCTACTAAGACATAAAAACAGATATGCAAATATTTACTGGAGATCTATTAACAAAAACATACATAGAAACTCCAGCATTCAAGAAGGCCGAAATCTGCTTCTGTTCAACACAAAAATTCAGTTTGCTAGCAACAAGGGAAATCTGTCTTCTCACGAGCTTTAACCATCCTGGGTCAATTCTTTCTCATCCTCCTTCTTCAACAGCTTCTCATCAAAATATGTGAAAGATACCAGCGAACTGAAAATTTCATTGGGATGATCTTGGAGCCCAACTTTTGCAGAAGAAAGTATCTTGCTTGGTTAAAAAGCAAGGACTGATTGATAAAGTTGACAGCATCCATTAGCTCCACCCTTGGCACAACTGTGCCATGTCCCGCTGAAAAAGCCTGGAAGAAGTCCTCCAGCTCTGATCCCCACCGCTTCTGCTGCAGTCTTCTGCCCCATGGATGTAAACCCAGAAGGAAAATTGCTGGCTTCAGGAAAGGACAGACCTACCAGCCAGCCCTTCATTCACAGAAATGTGGCTCAAAGAAGGATGCTGACCCCAAATATGGCAAAAGGAGAAGCAAACAAGCCTCCAAAATACGCCTGCTCGATCCGGGAGCTGATTAGCTTGCTTAACCCACAGCATCACCTCCTGCCCATAAGGAACACAAGACAAGACGATGGGTAGTGTTTTTTAAACCTCCCAGCATCGCCCAAGTAGACTCGTCCCAGGCGAAGGAGGAGCTGTACCATACCCGTGCACTGAATCTCCTCTCCTCTCACCGGGGAGCAGATAGGATGGCCCCGCGCCAGCGAGCGGCGGAAAGGGGGAGAGGAAAGTCTGCACCAACACAGCACAGCTCCCGGCTTCCTGCAGATACGGGCGAGATAATTTTAAGAAGAGGGAAGATAAGTGAGAAAGGGAGAATAAAAAACCCAAGTAAAAGCTCTGCTCGCCTTCCAAAGTTGCAGAAATGGGGCTCGGTGACAAGGGTTTGAAATTCGGCGGTGCCGGTGCTCCCAGCAGGCGTGTTCTCCAGTACAGAGATAACGGGTTTTGAATGGAGGGGAGAGGAAAAGGAGGGGGAATACATCAGAAGAGGAACAAAAAAGCCTCAGTGGGTTAAGCAGAACCTCGTGTTAGGAAGGTTTATCCCACAGTTTTACAAATGGGCAAGGAAGGCGGTGTGGGAACTCAAGGTGTTATTTCCTGGGGATATCCCCTCCAGATTTCTGAGCTGGACTTCAGCTGAAACAAAACAAACTCAGTAGCGTTGCCAGCTCTTACAATCTTACTGCAAGCCCGACAACAGCTGCGGGTTTATTCTGAAAGCATAAGCCCCTAGATTCATATGATAAATAAATAAAAAAAACCCCAAACACCAAACTACTTTTTCTTTTCTTCTTAAATTAAAGAAAGCCCCTAGGACTGTGGTTACAGTGAAAAGCTAGGAAATGCTAGAATTCAGATGGTCTTATCTGTAAGGCAAATAAAAAGTAAACGAAACTGAATTTTGATCTTACACCCTTAATTCAAATTCTGAATTATTACTGTTGTTATAACAGCACACCGAAAATACTAGATCAGACAAACTGTGATCTGGGATAAACAAGGAGCAGTGCCTACTGGGAGAGGATGCTGGACTTGGTGGTGATCGCACAACACGTTTGTCGCACAGGCAATTTAAATCAAGCCAACAACCCCTCCTGTGAAAACCCAGCACCAGACTCAATGCAGTCACCAGCATTTAAAACGAAGACTTCTTAGAAATTTGCCAAAATAGAACTTCAACGCCATTTGCAGAAGCCTTGGGGTAACAGAGGGTTTGTATATGTATGATCAACTTTGCATCCCCAATCTTTAGCGATGTACAAAACGTCAGTGCACGCAAACACTGTCTTGCTCCTACTTGATTTTGCAACCATCAATACGCACTGTATATGAAACTCGGAGAACACGTGCAACTGTGCTAGAATGGGTTAAAAAAATCAACCACTCATAAATTTGAAAGACATTTAACAAACACAGCATCCATACTTCAGGTGTTTCCAACTGTTCCAAAAGCCCCAGGAAAGTAAAAAAACCCCACGTCTCATATCAGAAAATTTTACAGATCACTCACTAATTTGAATACTTTTGATGTTGAAGGAAAGAGTTAAAGCTCATCTGGTGTAGAAAAACGATGACTAAACCCTCACAGTGCTTCACACAAA